TATATATATATATATATATATATATATATATATATATATACATATATATATGTGTATTATATACTGGTTAAGATAAGAATGCTACGGCTGCCTGCATGCAAGCACCACTGCAGCACGAAAGCCGTTGCTGCTGCTGCTGCTGCTGCTGCTGCTGCTGCTGCAGCTGCATGTACACCTCAACTCTGCTTCACTGCCGCTGCTGCAGCTTTCTCTCGTCTTCTACAATCTCCTACGCAAGCAGCAGCAGCGCCGCTGTTGCTGTTGCTGCTGCTGCTGCTGCTGCTAATGCTGCTGCTGCTGCTGCTGCTACTCTGGGCTTTACTAATGGACTGAGCAACCCACTGCCTACGCACCTGCTGCTGCTGCTGCTGCTGCTGCTGCTGCTACGCTGCTGCTGCTTCTCTTGCTTCTGCTGCTGCTGCTGCTGCTAAACTGCTGCTACTGCTACTACGGTCGGCGCTAAGCTGCTGCTGCTGCTGCAGCAGCAGCTGCTGCTGCTAGGGCAACAACGAAACTATCAGACTTGAAACACGAAAACAATTGCTGCTGCTGCTGCTGCTGCTGCTGTACAAACAGCAGCAGGCGCTGCTGCAGTCTAGTTGTAGCAGCAGCAGCAGCAGCAGCAAAAGTAGCTGCAGCAGAACGTCAACTGCAACAGCAGCAGGACATTCGCCGCGTGTGCTGCTGCTCCAACAACTGCTGCTGCTGCAGTTGCATCAGCAGCAGAAGGTGCTGCAGCAGCTGCAGCAGCTGCAGCAGCTGCAGCAGCTGCAGCAGCAACAGAAGGTGCTGCAGCAGCAGCAGCAGCAACAGCAGCAGCTGCAGCAGAAGCAGCAATGCTGCTTCACTCTTCGTCTGTCTTGCTGGCCGCCTCGAGGAGAGAGAGCAGCTGCAAACGCCTTTCAAACAGAGACTGCAGCAGCAGCAGCAGCAGCAGCAACAGCAGCAGCAGCAGCAGCAGCAGCAACAGCAACAGCAGCAGCAGCAACAGCAACAGCAGCAGCAGCAACAGCACCCAAAGCACCGACAATCTTACGTAAACCGAAACTCTCACCAGGCGTTGTTTGATTGCTGCTGCAGCATCAGCAGCAGCAGCAGCAGCAGCAGCATCAGCAGCAGCAACAGCAGCAGCAGCAGCAGCAGCAGCAGCAGCAGCAACAGCAGCAGTCTTACCTTGGCGCGGAGGTCTGCTATATTTTGTTCAATCATCGCTTTCCTGCGGGACCAAAGAAAACCCTAAACCCTAAACCCTAAACCCTAAACCCTAAACCCTAAACCCTAAACCCTAGACCCTCAACCCTAAACCCTAAACCCTAAACCCTAAACCCTAGAATCTAAACCCTACACCCGAGAAGCTAAGCCCTAAACCCTAAACCCTAGACTCTAAACCCTAAACCCTAAACCCTAAACCCTAAACCCTCGCTCACTCGGTTGCGTTTTCCTGTTGCATCTAAACCCTAAACCCTAAACCCTAAACCCTAAACCCTAAACCCTTGACCCTAAACCCTAAACCCTAAACCCTAAACCCTAAACCCTCGCTCACTCGGTTGCGTTTTCCTGTTGCATAATCAGCGACTTTCTGGCGGCGTCAAATTCCTCAAATTTAGATCGACAAATCTCAGAACGCCGCTGCAGCAGCAGCAGCAGCAGCAGCAACAGCAGCAGCAGCAGCAGCAGCAGCAGCAACAGCAGCAGCAGCAGCAGCAACAGCAGCAGCAGCAGCAACAGCAACAGCAGCAGCAGCAATAAAACAAGCGTCGTAGTTGCTGCAGCATATTGCGTGCAATGCACAAATGGAGACAGAAACAGCAGCAGCAGCACGGCAGCAGCAGCTGCAGCAACAGCAGCAACTGCAGCAGCAGCAACTACAACAACAGCAGCAACAGCTGCAGCAGCAGCAGCAGCAGCCACCTACTGCATGCGTCTCCATTCTGTGCTCCTTCAAGCACCGCAGATATACCACCCCTGCACCGACAAAGCAGCAGCAGCAGCAGCAGCAGCAGCAGCAACAGCAGCAGCAGCAGCAGCAACAGCAGCAGCAGCAACAGCAGCACATGAGTTCAAAGTTTGCGTATAGCAGAACCAGCAGCACTTGGGTGACAGCAGTACAAACTGCAGCAGCAGCAGCAGCAGCAACAGCAGCAGCAGAGTAAAGCAACGGCAGCAGCAAGCTAAGCAACTGCAGCAACAAGCGAAGCAACTGCAGCAGCAGCAACAGCAGCAGCAGCAGCAACAGCAGTAACCGCACCAGGAACGCATGCAGGGTTCTCCAGGTCTGCTGCTTCTGTAAACATCTTCATGTACATATCCGCCTGCAGCAGCAGCAGCAGCAGCAGCAGCAGCAGTAGCAGTAGCAGCAGCAGCAGCAGCAGCAGAAGCAGCAGCTGAGCAAGCAGCAGCAGCTGCAACAGCAGCAGCAGCAACTGCAGCGAGGACCGCTAGCAATGCAACAGCAGCAGAGACTGCAGCAGCAGCAACAATAAATATAGCAGCAGCAGCGGCAGCACCACCACAAACACCTGCAGCGGCAGCAGCAACGGAAGCAACAGCAACAGCAGCAGCAACAGCAACAGCAGCAGCAGCAGCAGCAGCAGCAGCAGCAGCAGCAGCAGCAGCAGCAGCAGAGTACCTTCATTTCGCGAGCATCTACGCTGAGAGAGTCCTCCAGCTTTGGCTGCAGCAAACCACCAAACAAAAGAACACATACACCTCACTGCAGCAGCAGCAGCAGCAGCAGCAGCAGCAGCAGCAGCAACAGCAGCAACAGCAACAGCAGCAGCAGCAACAGCAGCATTACCTCCACCACCACCCCAACCACCGCCGTAACCACCATCACCATCAGCAGCAACAACAACAACAGCAGCAACAGCAGCAACACCAACACCAACAGCAGCAGCAGCAACACCAACACCAACACCAACAGCAGCAGCAGCAGCAGCAGCAGCAGCAGCAGCAGCAGCAGCAGACCTGTTGGTAGACTAGGTCCATCCAAAGGGCCCTTTGGCTGTCCGGCAAATTCTCCGCATTTATAGAAAAGCCAACGAAGTTGTGGCGCT